AGCGACTTTAATATCTCAGATGATCTATTGAGGGAATCTTTCATTTTACCTCACTCTGTTGCACTTGAATCCTATGTTAAGGCTTTTCAGGTCAATTTTCATATATTTTATTCTTGATAACTCGAACCACGTCGAACCACGTCTGTCAATACGTGGCAAATCGAAACAATGCACGGCAGTCCAAAACATTTACGTCACGTTGTGATTTTCTGCAGAAATTTAGTGTTCCATATCCGCTTGACTTCTTTCTCATATCAAATTTGAGTCAAATTTATATTGTATGAATAGAAAAACCAACAAACACCTTTTTTCCCTTTCTTCTGGTTCCCGGTAACTCGAACTCCCGATAACTCAGACCTGAATAACTGCCTGTCCCTGGATGTTCTGGGTATGAGACTAACTTAAACCTTTTTCAGTTTTCCTTCAAGCTTCGAGTTAATGTGATCTCACTGTGCTTTGTTTTGATTGGAGATTTTTTCCCAAATGACAAATTTTCAAAACATAATTTTCAGCAAAAAAACAGTCAGGATGACAATGGGCTATCGATGGCAAAATGAAAATTCATTTTGGTTGCTGGAAATCATATCATCAGAAATAAATATATTCATAATAAGAGTTACCGAAAGAAAATATGCATTTAAGCCAGAGTATCAGGGACTTGAGCCTAAAAGAGAATTAAAAGATTCAGTGTACTGCTAACAAGAACGTTCATGGGCATAGCAATGGTATGAAAACAGAACAAAACAAATGATAAATGGTGGTATACGAGGGAATCAATGGGACGCCCACAATAGACCTCGTCGCCATAGCAATAGTACGAAAAGAGAACGGAAAAGAGAACAGTGCGTTTTAAGAACATGTGGGTATTCCATAAACAAAGTTCTAATACTTACATCATTTTCCATCTCATAAACTTAAAGAATATTTTTCCGCTTTGCCGTAGAGTTATGTGAAAAAAGACGTAAAAGACTTAACGAATTGAAAGAAAGCATTGCAAAGATTGAAAATGATCCAAACGATCCGAAAAGTAAACGAAGACTCACCATCCTTGTTAGATAGACCAAGCTCACTGACCGAAAAACGTAGTGATGAAATAGGACGCAAGCCCCCGCGCCATAAATTATACCGTGGCCCGTTTGCCGCTGTACCCTTGAGAGCTTTGCATTAGCCAAAAGCCTTAAATTATTAAGGGGGTAATTTTCTAAAGAAACTGTGGTGCTGTGTTGGCTGGAGAGTTTAACATGTAATTTAGTGTTAACAACCGAGTTGAAGACGCAAATTGACCACCGTAAAGAGTTTTAGGCTTAATCTTTTTTTATCGAAAAAGAGTTTAAAGGCTGGTGTTTTGAGCGTTAGCCCTTTTGCGGCTTTCCGAACTTCCTAGATCTAGGGAGAGGCTGCAAATTGCTATATGTTGTTGAGAATGATTAGGGAGATTAAAGTGTCTAGCGCGACTGGTTTGGATGCGTCCTTGTCATTTCTTTCTACGTCGCGAAGGTGTTCTCGGAATCGGGCACCTAGTCGTCTACCTGTTTCACCAAAGTATAACTCTTTTGTATAACGGTTATGCATTGAATGACATTGGCAGAGGTGCAGGTAAAGTAATCAGTTATTTTAATGGATCTCTAGGGTTCCGACATTTTCTCTACGTTATGAATGAAAGGACAAGTTTTGCATCGTGAGCGAGCGCATTTGAAAGTTCCAGATTGGTCATTGGTTTAAAATGAACTTCTGACCAAAAAGTTGCCCATGTTTTTGTCACGTTTGAATGAAATTAGTGGAGGTTGCGAAAAGATAGTACCAGTCTCTGAATCGTTTTGGAGTAATTTAAAGTTTTTAAGACTGATAGCTTGATTGTGAGGGTGAAATATGAGATTAAATGGAATGCAGTCAGTGTTTTCCTTCTTAGCCGTTTGTAGTCCTGGCTGGTAGAGGAGGTAGCGCCGATGCAGTCGTCAATGTAACGGCCGTAGAGTTAGGTTTGGGGCCTTGGTATTGACTAAAAAATTGATGTTCGATAAAACCTACGAAAAGATTGGCATAGCTGGGTCCCATTTAGTACCCACAGCTACGCCATTAGTTTGTTGTAGTAGTTACCACCGAATGGAAAGCAAGAGAGTGTAAGAACTATTTCGGCTAGACGGAGTAGTGTTTCAGAGCTAGTTTCCCTAACAGTGCGTTGATCGAAAAAATGTTTTAGGGCCCGGAGACCTTCGTCGTTGGGAACGACAATATAAAGAGATGTAATATCCATGGTGAAAATAAATTTGTTTTGGTCGAGGAAATTCAAGTCACGAAAAATTTCAAGTGCATGTTGGCTTTCCTTAATGTAAGATGGTAAAGTTCTGACGAAAGGTGCATTTAAACTCTTTACGATGGTTAGTTTAAGTTTTCAACTCAGTTGTTAACACTAAATTGCCTTAAATTATTAATTGGACAAGTCAAGAGATTTTATTCTAAATTTTTCAAAATCGCAAGGAAACTTTTGTGATTCTGCTGAGTTAACGCTGTTCGCTGTTATACAAGTCAATAGAGAGTGGTGTGTCTTCTTGAAACACAAACTACAGTATTAAACGAAAAATCGCACCTGCATGCGTTGTCTTCCGACCCATTTACACATTGAAAGGAACCAAACATCACTTCTCTGTATATATTAAAAATAAACAAAATTAGTGGCAGCCTGGGGTGCAAAACGTTAATTTAACCGTTTTTCAGGGTAATTTTTTAAGTTTGCTCGTGAGAAATGTGAGCAGAAATTGTGATGTGTGTCTTCTCTCGTTGTTTGAACTCATTCCTTGCTTCATGGTGTAGAATTTCTCAAAGACAGTTATATCTACATTTTTTATTCAACTTTGCGCCAAACGAGAGTATGCAAACCAAAAAGTGCAGCTTCTAATTATTACAAATGTTTTCCAGAGTCTATGTTAGATGACAAACTAGGCTAAACCGACCTTAGAAGGTTTAAACAGGGGAGCCAGTAGGGAGTGGGTTCCGCAGTTCCTGTGTCCAACCCACTTTGTGAAATAATTTTGTCATAAGTCAATAACAATGAAAAATATCGTGTTCAGGTTTGCACAGTGCTAAATTTTCCATCCGCTGGTCCTTCATGTCGCATGAATATGAGTCCACTGAATGCACGAGGAGAAGTGATGGTATAATCCACTTCGGCTCAAGTTCTCTTTTTGTGTTGTAAGTTCATATTTACTTAATTGTTTGGTCTTTTTTTTCGCAAGAAACATTTTCATTATTTGTCCCGCACAGACCTAATTAAGAACCCTCTGCCGTGTTGTTAAGTTGAAAGGTGTCAGTACAGACAATGATGACACTTCACGCGAACAATTTTTCTCCAAATTTTTCAATACCGCAACGAAACTTTTGTAATTCTGTTGAGTTAACGCTGTTCACTGTTATTCAAGTTAATGGAGAGTGCTGTGTCTTCTTGAAACCCAAAATGTAGTATTAAACGAAAAATCGCACCTGCTTTGTCTCCAAAATATTTACATATCGAAAGGATCCAAATATCACTTCTTTAAATATATTGAATGTAGACAAAACTAATAACGGTCTGAAAATAATGTACTCGACTCCCTTTGATAATACAAAGGCATTAGTGGTTTGGGGTGCAAAATGTTAATTTAGCTGTTTTTCAGTGTAATTTTAAGTTTCTTCGTGAGAAATGTGAGCAGAAATTGTGATATGTGTGTCTTCTGTGATTGTTTAAACTCATTCCTTGCCTCATTGTTTAGAATTTCTCAAAAACAATCACATCTACATTTTTTCTTCAACTTTGTGCCATACGAGAGTATGCAAACCGAAAAGTGAAGCTTCTAATTATTAAAAAAGCTCTCCAGAGTCTATGTTAGGTTACAAACTGGGCTAGACCGACCCTCGGAAGGACGAAACAGGGGAGCCAGTTGGGGGTGGATTCCGCAGTTCCTGTGTGCAACCCACTTTGTGAAATAATTTTGTCAAAAACAATAAAATATATTGTTCTTTAGATTTGCACAGTGCTAAATTCTCCATCTGCTGGTTCTTCGTGTCGGTGAATATGAGCCTATTGAATGCTTAAGGAGGAGTGACGGCATAATCCACTTCGGCTCAAGTTACTTTTTTTGTTGTAAGTTCATATTAACTAAATTGTTTTTTTTTTCTTTTGCAAGAAACATTTTCATTTTTGTCCTTCCCAAACCAAATTAAGAACTCTCTGCCGTATTGTTAAGATGAAAGGTGTGAGTACAGACAATGATGACGCATCACGCGAACACGTGTTAATTCTGCTCAAAGTAATGGATTTAGTAAAAGGAAATTACTTCTCCACAAACCAAATTATGGAGAAAGTTCCATCTCTTAGAGTTCTCAAAGTGTGTTCGTAACCTTGGTGCAACATGAATTTGCATAACAAAGTATTAAAATAGAAGACATAGAAGTACTCGCTACAGCTAATTAAGCTGACTTGTAAAGTTTATTCTAAGTTTACAAATTTGAAGTATTTGGTATTTGAATTTCAGATTATCACTATTCAATATTTTGGGTCCTTCACTCCTTCTCCGTTAGCTTTCTTTGACGCTGCGATTGGAAAGGAATTGTACTCACCTTTTGCGATCAACGTGTTTCATACTTTTTAGCAGGTTGAGACTCATTTTAACAAAGATAAAGATTCCTGAAAATTATAACATTGTCAACTGGCGGTTTTCGTTCGGGAGTTCAATGTCGATAATGGAACTTTGTTTTCGCTACCTCCTGGGGCGTTAAATTTGCAATAATGATCTTCCATTGTTTTCTCAAAGTTTGTTTATATAAAGACTTCTATTGTAAAGTATCCCCCTCCATTGAACTAGCGTTCCTTATGAACGAGTTCCATAATTAGGACAGGTGAAGAGGCTACCGAGTAAATAAAAATGTTTTGTTGCGTGTAAAAGGCTTCATTAGACACAAATTTGTCATCACACATGCCCTAAAGCTCTGAGCGTTTATCTGGTCACATCGCAGCTTCATCCAAAATGTTCTCCAAAAAGATTATCATTTGTTTTGTTCTGTTTTCATACTATTGCTATGCCCATGAACGTTCTTGTCAGCAGTACACTGAATCTTTTGATTCTCTTTTCTACAACCGCGTCCTGATCGGCCAGGTGATCAAGTCGTTGTTCACTCGTGGTGGAATTCTCTCCTGTGCTCACAGATGCTTGTCTCTTCCGTCATGTTCAACATACAATTACCAAATGTCAGAGTCCGACTATAGCAATTGTGAGTTAAACGGCGGAAAAGAGGGCGATCAGGAAAACTTGGTGGAAAGAGCTGGCTATGTTTTCGCACGGCAAAGAAAGGTAACTTGGCCGTGTTTGCCACCTTGGTTCATCTTACTTAAAATAACTTCGGAATCATAGCATTTTCATTAAAAAAAGTACCAAAACGAAAGCAGAGAACAGTAAGATGTCTTTAATAAACTCGAGATAGGACTTGTCAGAGCTCGTACAAGGTTAACCCTTCTGCGTTCTTTTTCATTTTCGCAGCCGCTACGCAGCTGCAAAGAGGTAAGACAGCAGATTAGTAAGCCTGCATCAGGTTATTTCTATATCCAAGACAACAAATGTGAAAAGTTTAAAGTCTTTTGCGACTTCACCTCAGAGCCCGGTTGGGCCTGGACTCTAGTTATGTCAGAAAGCTTACAGAACGTTGGCAAACCTTTTACCCGACGGGGTTTGTTCACAAATGAGCCAATGAACCCAGAGGTTCCCAACTGGGAGGCGTACAGGCTTCAATTAGACCGCATGAAAGGGTTGAGATCTGAGTCAACACACTGGCGAATAACTTGCAGCTTCGATCCTGCGAGCGTTGTCGACTATAGAGATTACGTTCGAGCAAAGTTTACAAACTTCGACTTGTTGACTCACGAGAATAAGGGTACGAAAACTTGTGAACTCGTTGATTACATCAATGTCCATGGACACGACTGTAAAAACTGCACTGCAGTTTGGTATCAGTCTGCTCAGTACATTTTAACCCACAAAAGCTATGAAAACCTCTGCGACTTTGCTGGAGCACCTGGGTCCATTCAAGTTGATGGCATTCACAGCGAGCAAAATTTTGGTCGGTATGTACTTTACAATCCTAACTTCCGGTGCACATCAAATAGCTCTGCCACAACCAACTACTGGTTTGGTTCACAAGTTTGAACTCTTTCTCATTGCTCTTACGAGAAAAAAAAACATGTAAATAAACTAGCTTGCTGATTATTTCATTTGAAAAAAAGCACTGTGACTTCAGTAATGTAAAAGTCTTTTGTTTTTCTCTGCTTGTTGATATGATGATTAAAAATCAGAGAAAGTAGATTTCATAAGTTATGCAAAGTACTGCAAAAATGTAATTATACAATTAGGTTACGAAATTCATATTACCAGAAGTAACGCTATTCGAATTCTAATATAACTAGTTGTATTGGTAACGGAAAGTAATCCGTATAGCATTGTATAACTAGCGTGGAGTAATAATTAGTATTGTAAGTAAGGGAACGAACTCAGTGGCATTGCCTTGTGTCGTAAATAGTATTAGTTTTTTATTATTAGCCTCAAAAGTATTGTTTCTCTCGTTGGAGTATTAATAAAGAGTAAAAATTTAAAAATTTGAAAAACTTATTATTTTATTAGGCCTAAGATAAGCCACATAGTTCTGCATATCTGTTCTATTCGTTTGTTGAATAATGTGTTTTGATTGGCTATCATTTCCGACGTGATCACTTTTAAAGAAATAAATTTCATGAGAATTATCAGAAATAAATAAATGAATAGATGAAAATAACAGTTACTAAGATACAATAAGCATTAAGTTGCGGTATGAGAGACTTGAGAATAAAAATATGGCAAAAATAATGTCACTAAATTGCTATCAAGCTGGTAAAGTTATGTTTTCAGTTAAAAATGTCTCACTAAACTCTCTCACTTCCTCTTGCAGTAGAAACATGAAAGACTTAGATTAAAATTCATCAAAGCCTTCCCTGAATTTGAAACTCATACAACGAACCAACAAACAACAATTCCATCTTAAATCTTTTCAAGAAGACATATACTTCGGCAGCTTCCAGATCTTTTAATACTATACAGTCTGCCGACTCGACAGTGACTGCTTCACAAAGAGTTCAGGCTCTATAATAGGGTTCCTTCAGATTTTTCTGTCTTTTTCTCGCTGCCTCAGGGTACCTTATGCAATGTTCTTCAGTTTCTGGTTTCATTTCACGGCGTCCTTGAATCGCAGCCCAAGACATTCCTGGTTCTCTTGCCTTCACGAAGCTGGGAGTATAGCTATTGCCGGGGTAATCCAACGAAGTCCATTGTCTTCTGGCCGAGCCCATCCCAAGGGCATCTGGGCTAATATATCAGCTATAAATGGAATAATTGCCTTCTTCAAAATCTCTTTGTTCCTGATTTCGTCTTTCCAAGATATAGCCGCAAACGCTAATCACTCGTATTTCAAACTTTACTAGAACAAACTTGACACATTGTTGAATACGGTAACTGAAAATGACAAAATTACAAACACGCGAATGAGCATAAAATAACTTACATCGTATGAGTGAAAGTGCTGGAAAACGACAAAGCGAAATAAACAAGGATACTTACAAGACGAATGTGACCAAACCAAAGACGAAAACATGAAACCCAGAGCTAGATATGTAACGATAATTTTCGCAAACTAGACATCTAACCAAATAAATTACGCGCAACCAATATATATACGATATGCAAATAAATATAACAAGTACAAAACTGGTAACTGACAAAGGATACTAATGGAAGACGAGAAAATAAACACCTAACACGAAACTATGAAACACCAACACCAACAAAAAATGATAATACAAATTCTTGCGCCTACACAAGATATGTTCATTATCTCCCTGAGAAAATGCATCATGTGTCATACACAAACGATGACATCCATATTTACCTTGTTGACGTGCTCTTAGCCTCCAACTGTTTTTGTTTTGCCTAGCTAGCAAAGCGGAAAAGAAGAACCCAGGCTTATAAGAAATAATAATGAAAAGAGACATGCTACCCATGCAAGAGCTATTTTGTGAAACAGTCGGCAGCACCTATTGTGGTAATTTTTCGTCTTTACCGCACCTTGAAGTCATCTGTGATCTGTAACTGAACGGACGCACTGCAACATGGAATCTTAGACTATAACTATGTCGAGTGGATGCGAAGTGGGCACGCACAAAAACGTTTTGCTTCCCGGTTTATTCGGGACAGGTGTCGAGTACATGCCCAGCAGTCCGTAGTTCCACCGACATATCTCGCCATAGCATCGTTAAACGTCTGCATTTTCCCCTCTCATTCGTCGTCCGTTCTTGTTTTTATTCCAAACCCTACATGTACGCTCTTCGCAAGTTTCCGTTAAAAAAAAAAAATCATTAACCAAGTGGAGCAATGCTCCTCACCGGTGAGCTACAATTTTGGAAATTGCGGGAAAGAAGCATGAAAAATCTTCAGACTTCGACTGTATTCGAACCCGTGCCTCCTGTGTACACTAGTTTGGCGGTTCTTTACTTGATTTTCAATCCGCAGCTCATCTTTAATTTAGTACAAAGTGTATGAAAATCATTAATATAACAATCCTTTGCCGTGGAACAAAATGTCTTAAAGTTTAAATTTCGATTGGTGTGCAAAGATGAAAGTGAGGTATGCACAGCATACGTTATACAAGTATTATCCACCTATCTAGTACAGTTTTCAATTATTACCCTTCTAAATCTTTCATACCGAGACTAAAATCCTCCGCGCAGTTCAATGTTTCAAAAATACTCCAACGTGTGTTGTTTTGGCATAGCAAGGTTTTGTATCGCAAAGTATTCTGTGGTTTTTACCAGTGATTTCAAAATGGATGTAATAAATTGAGGAATCAATAAAGTCGTAAGTCAACCGTGGAAATTCTTCGTGGATTCGTGGAAATCACCACTGATTTCAAAATGAATATAATAAATTGAGTAATCAATAAGTAATGAGTGAACCAAAGAAATGATAAACCTTGATAAATCGGTTTTATCGACTGCGTTGATGATCCAAATTAGCCACCACAGAGATATTGTAAGACTAACGGAGTGACTGACAAATTAAATAAAATAAATTTAAATAGAAGCCATTGTGGTTTTGGTTATTTTTAACCCATACCTAGGATAGTCAAGGCGGTCTTCACGACCTAATTTTTATATTGCGTTTTCTCCTTAATATTCTCTACTCATTTCCTGCAGAACTGACAAAGATAAGATGTTGATCATTTCCCTTATGCTTGTGATCTTAATTTTATTTTTTTATCGGGAGTGATACTATAAGGATAAACTAGATGCTGACACTGTTTGGGTTAAAAGATTGATTGTTTGTGGCGAACTTAAAACATTTTATGGAGACTTTACCCCATTATAAGGTCGCCCCCTACAACCTATGTTAGTTCACTCCCAGAAATATAAAGGGTGCGCCCCATCCTTTACCAGTTCGCCCCAAATGTTTTAACTCGTTTCCTTACGGCAGAACACCTTCTTTTTCGGTCGGTATTATAATATATTTCGATCAACATGCAATTTTACAGCAGTTTTACATAGAGAATATTACTTGGGTGCACGTAGATGTGGAATTTCTCGATATCTCACCAGTGGACGCAGGTAAAATTATTTCAAGCGTTCAGCGCGGATACTTCTTGTTGTAACTCACATGTTTGCGATTTTAATCGGTAAAGGAGTGTACACTTCAGCAAATCGAGTTTCCTATTCGACAATTAGAAACATGGCGCAACCATTTATAGAATCTATCAGGAGCCGTAATAGGTCAGTCACATTACGCCGTCATAGATGTGATCCGTGATTGTCTATAGATTACACCAGAAGCATAAAAAACTATTTTTATTTTTGCCTTTTGTCTTCGTTCGGCATCCCTGCTGATTTCGGTGAATGAGAACTCCTTGAGTTAATTAATATTTTATTGCTTTAACATTTTTAACACATTGTCCTTGAAGGTCACCATCGCATTAACTTTCCACTTTTGAATTTTTTAAAATTACTATTTGCCTCCTTTGTCGGGGCCTCAGCAGGTTTTGTTCTCGAAAGGCTAACATTGTCTCGGACACAATTATCTCCCTATGTTTTGAAGGGAATTAAAACCATTGGTTTTTTTCACTGAGAAAATTCTTTTGTTGATTCACATGTTGATCCAAAAAAGCACAATTTTTTTTGTACAAACGACAGCAAAACAAAAAGCGTAAAAAATTAAAAACTCAACGTGCTATTTTTCTCGTGAAAAAAAAACCAGTTGTTTCACTAGAAAGTTTCTGAAAGATAACGCTATTTTAATTGGCACAGCACGGTTTTGCATCAATAGTAAATATTTCTGGAAGACCCGCTGAGACTTTACATAAGCCTTAGTATTAGTAATAATTGAGCTTAATTCCGAACTTGAAATCGAGGTGCCCACTGTTTAAAAGTCTTTTGATAGAAGAACCTGCTGAAAACACTCTATGCAGTCATTAATTAACTGTGAATATGGAATTATGACTGAACTGTGCTCGGAGGTGGACTTCGGTGCACCGATCCCCGATCATGTCTTTGCGCGTACACAACCTCATTACCGTGGGTAGAAAACTGGGTCTCTTCGCTATTGCTTTTCCAAAAAGGCGTAAGATATATGCTTCTGCTTCTAGAAAGTCTCTTTAGCTGAAGAAATTTCCCTTCAAATGCTAATTTCTAAGTCACAGCGAGCGTATTACCTCACACATACAACTTATGTATAAGTCATGAAACTTTTTTGATGAAATACCCATCTATGTTAATGATGTTGAGATAAACATTTTTCAAAGTTTTTGTAAAAACCAACTCACCGTAATGAAATAACTCCCTCTTAATTTTTCTTTAACTTAATTGAGAAAAGTAAATAGACAAAGATGAGCAAATTAATGTTTTATTGCTTTAACATTTTTAGCTCATGACCTTGGTGATAAATGCATTGTACGCTAACATTTATACAAGTCAAACAAGTAGCCCAACTCTTGTCTAGCCGTTGAATTGCTTCGAGATTTTTACCAAAATGTTGTCAAAAAGCACTATTCTCCTTTACCTTCTCTTTTCTTACTATGGCTATGGTGACGAGTTTTACTGTGGGCGTTTCAGGGAGTCCTTTGATTCCCTCTTATA